CACTGGTGGAACCTCTTCTAACCGGATCGGTAGATTTCACGAACCGGTTCTACCCAATAGGTGCGAACTGGTAGGAACCCACCTCTGGTATGTGCAGAGCGCAGTTGCCAGAGGAAGGGAACAGCTAAAGAACAGGGGTCAACTTGGGAGTAAGGCCACAGGTGGACGATGAATGGCCCCTCCCAGAGGTAATAAAAGAGGAGCGAAGGGGGAGTGGAGTTTGCAGGAGACCATTAGTTCGCTTAATTGGGAGACTCCTTGCCAAGTTTTGCAGATATCAGCCTGGCAGCTCTCCAAGCCAGATAAGGTCTGTGACTGTAAATCCTCCCACGAAAGATTTTGCTGGATGTGAATGAGCAGAATTCACAGTCCATTAATAAAAAGGGGTTTTTTTTGTCGAGACTAGGAGTTTGTTTCATGCTCTTGGGAAGCCTCGGTCCCCTTAGAAATCGTGTAAAGTGTGCATTGATTCAATTATAACACCAAACTAATTAAGATCTCTCTGTTCCTCCAGGTGTTTGGCTTGGTGAATATGATTCTGTGGGGTGGAAATGCTTGGTTTGTATACAAGGAGACTAGTCTGCACAAATCTAACAGTAATTCTCCAAAGCCAGGATTCTACCCACCAACATCAGGAATCTGAACAGTTACAGATTGAAGCTAAACGGGCGCCTGTTTCATTTTGTTGACAAGTTTGAATGCACTGTATTTCGAAAATATTTTACCATTAACTTTAGCAAATGTACAATTTGGAAGAAAAAGCCCGGTGTAGGTAAGAAATGAGTCTTTTGAAAGAATTTATTAACCTTAAATGAATATTTGACTCAAAGGCTTGGACAGTGTTGTCATCTTAGAAAATAATTTTTCGGGACACAATACGTTTCCGTGGTAGTGATAAACTGCATTTGACAATTCTTTGCCTGTATAATCCTATTCATGTTGTACTCTACTTAATGTTTTGTCATAAAGAGAGACTTGAAATAATTGTTTTTGCATTCTATTGAGGATTAGGATTTGGCAAATTCACTGTCTGTTTAAACCGTTGCCGGATTTAAAAAGTTTCTTCTGCGCTAAAAAGGTATTATGATTATTATTATTTTTTGTATTTGCAATTTCAGTGTAAATTGTTCAACTGCTACTATTGAAAAAAAAAAGATACAGCTTGAATACTCTGTGATTAATAACTGAGGTAATTCTAACCGTTTTGATTTGTTCATCAAATGATCCCCGGGGATCTATTTTAAGTTGGAAAAGTTCTCTCTGATCTTGAGAATGCAAGTTATACCGAGGGAAGGATTCAAGCCTTTAGAAAGCTATCCGTTACTTCTACGTTTGACTGTTTAAAACATGGATGTTTAATACATTCGAGCATAGTCTTTCATACTCCTGCACGTTAGGTTCGGTCCACCTAATAAATTGACATTTCTAGAAATTGGGCCTGTTGTCCTGAAAATATTGTACAGTGAAACAGGGGTGTCAAACTCAATTTCATTCTGCAAAGGACTGGCCCACGGTGCTTCTGCCAGCGAAAAGGGAACTCGGGAGGGCTGCGTGTGATGCTCCCAGACTCAATTTTTGGCCGCAACTCGATTTCATTGAGGGGCGCATCAGGGTTGTGTTTGACCTCGGGGGGGGGGGGGGGGGCATGGCCAGCTCAATGTCATTCGTGTTAGCTCGACGTCACTCGTTTTTGGCCATGACAGCCTCCTACAGCCCTCTGCCAATGAAAACGGAGCTCACACGCGCACACTCACCTACCCATGGGCTCCGTTTTCGCTGGCAGAGGGCTGTAGGAGGCTGTCATGGCCAAAAACGAGTGACGTCGAGCTAACACGAATGACATTGAGCTGGCCATGCCCCCCCCCCCCCCCCCCCC